AACTTGTTGAGTCTTTATATAGATTGAAAGAAGCTCTTGGCACCAAAAGTTTGACAAAATGATGTTGTCAAATGAATTCAAAATAAATGAATGCGACAAAAATACACCATATGCCTATGTGTTTGTATGTAGACAATATGTTGATGATGAGCAATATTCATGGAGTGGTGCTAAACGCCACGAAAATGTTTACGAAGCATTACGACATGAAAGATTTGGGTGTGGTAGATGTAATACTAAAGATAAAAATCTCTAGAGCATTGGAAGGAATTGTACTTTCCCAATCTCATTATGTTAAGAAAATATTTAAAAAGTTTGAAGTATTAGAGGAAAGTTCGGAAAAAACCCTATTGACGCAAGTCTACATTTGGTTAAAATAAGGGTAAAAGCGTGTCACAACTGAGATATTCACAAGTAATTGGCATTCTAATGTATGTTACGAACTACACTCGTTCGAATAATGATTTTGCTGTGAATAAATTTAGTAGTTTCACGAGTAATTCAGGCCATGATTATTGGGTGGCATTGATAGGGGTCCGTAGGTATTTGAAATACCATGACCTATGGATTACATTTCACAAGATATACTACGGTGTTAGAAGGATATTATGATGCAATGATATACACTAAGTTTAAAGTGGATGAAATGGGATGAAAGCCTAAAAGTGGATGAAATGGGATAAAAATCGATCATGACGGTTGTTTGGATATACATTGAATACCCATGTATGAAATTCACTAGTAAATATGATTTACTAGTGTAATAATTTGATAGAAATCCTTCAATCTTGTTTGGAATTGGTAAAGCTTTAGATAAAGTTAATGAGAAGCATATAGCTTCATAAGAGGATTTCTTTGTTGGTGAAAATGTGTATCTATCAAATGAATCGATTGTTGGCTAGCTAAATTTGAAAAGATACTAAGTCACATGTAATGGTAAGTCTAGACGTATAAGTCGTAGACATAATGCCATAATCAGAAGATTTTATTGGTGTGTACTTGTGGATCCATTTATATATGTTTACCAAGAGATCAAGTATACTTCATATCGAAGAAAATGAGATTATGCCTATTGAGTAAGAGTTCTTATGATGGTAACCTTACCTTGTTGACTGGAGATCCCAATATTTTGGGTCAAAAGGACAATTAAGTTATGAGGATTTCATGAAGTACTTAGAAAACTAATTTCCTAGCTTATCCCTATAATGCCAAAGTGCTTTCTGTAGAGTGATTGGAGGCTAAGATAAACTTTTAATGATTCATATATCCTGATTAAGTCAAGTAGAGTAGGGCAGAATACTCTTAATAGGAAGTCACCTATGTAAGTGTGAAGTGAGGCAGTTTCAATGAGAATTATTCAAGGTTTGAATTCTCTAAACACTTACAGAACCAAGATGGGTTTAGGGCCAAAATGAACTAAGTTATAAGAACCATGAACAATTTATGGGAGATGTTGTGTGAGTACTGTTGCCTTAGTTTATACCAACGGTTGATGGTTCAAGAACATCGCGTTCACCAGTTACCTAGTAAATCCGATAATATTTCACTAAAGAAGGTTCAAAACTAGAAGCTATCTTACTTCATGCAGTGTTATCCCGCTCTCCTACCAATGTCAGAATAGACATTTGCATTAATTTTCATTCATGTGAAGTATTGTTAGAATTTTGTATCGAAAATTGGTTGTGACCAATTTTGCATGATTATTTAAGTGAAATTCTTAATTTGGTGAATGAGAAATTAAGTCAAATATAAACCGCTCAATATTTGAAATTGTTGAAAAATTGTGTAGAATATTGTGGAATATTCTAGAAAGAGATGGGTGAAAAGATGTGTCTGTTCATATGAATCCAATAATTAGGAATTCCAAGAGGTGTCTCTTGGTGTGGGTATGTCTTCTGAGATACCTTTCCAACTACTATATATTGATCTCATTTGTTTGGATTTTATAATTAAAAAAAAAGAATTCAAAAAATTCAATTCATAATTTCTTATCATTCCATTCCATGCTTAGATAGTTTGCATAAAACTCTTGCATCAAAGTCATGGTTATAGTAGAGAGGAAACTCCGTTCGAGTTCGTTGGTTTAAGCCATTTGGAGTGCTCCTATGGCTTGACGTGGTCGTCGTATCTTAAGAGATGATTATCAAAAATTCGTTAACACCGATGCGTGACAAATTCATCTTAAGGACAAAGTGTCCAACACTTGCCTCGGCCAATGCATCTCTCCTTGATTATTTTTTATTTCTTCCTTCGTATTTGATTTCAAAAAATTAATAACGTTCTTTTGATTTCATGTAGGTTTGAAATAAAGAATGGAAATGATTGAATTTGTCATTTCATCTTCCCAAATCCATTTCTTTAAGACGAAATTGCGTTTCGATTTCGTGAACATAAATGGTTTGTTTTATGAATATAATATGCATAATATCGGTGTAATTTTTCAACAGAATTTTAATTGATAAGTTGAAAATCAATCTGAGAAACAGGTTTGATTTTCTTGGTTCATACTATTGTGGTTGTTATGGTTTGTGTAATTTTTGCAGATATCACGGTGAAGGACGTTTATAAGTTTGTAATATAAGTATTAATTGAAGTTAAAATCTTATCTTAAAATTAAACAGAAATAGAAGAATACTTTGATTTGAGGTTTTGATTCAACATTTTGAACGAAGTTTTATGCCAATTAGATATTATTTGGCTTTCTTTGCATTCCAGAAATTAATTGTAGGCCTTTATGAAGAAGTTACAATCTTGATTTTATAGTTACAACCTCCATTTGATATCTTGTGTGTAGCACATTTACTAGTGAAAAAAGTTTCATGTTTTCCTTCATAAGAGTAGGGGTGTCAATTGGCTCGTTGGCTCAGGAGGGCCATGGCTCGGCCTGAGAAAAGCTTGAGCCAGCCGGGCTTGTTGCTCATTTCTACAGAGGCCCTATTTTGGGGGGCGTCGGCTTGAGGTCGAGCTAGCCCATGTCAAGGGTCATTTCGGCCCGTAACGAGCCGAGTCTTGAAAAAAAAAGAAAAAACTTAAAAACTTAAAAAAAAAATTATATAGGGCAAGCCGCGTAGCTGCCTTAACTACTGCCTGCAATAACAGCTGCCTTTTTAAGGCAACTGCCAAGGCAACTATATTAATAAAGGGGAAAAAAAGAGCAAGCTTGACCTGACTTTGCTCGCTGAAGCTCGAGCCTAAAGGTAGGATCGAGCCTAAATTTTTTGGCCAAACAAAAGCTCGGCTAGACTAGGGCCCAAAAAAAGCCCAAACCATTTTTACTCGAGCCGAGCTTGAGCTTTGAATTTCGACTAGTGAGCCGACTCGATTCGACTCGTAAACATCCCTACATAAGAGTGAAAAATGTTTTATGGATGCCTACTAGTATTTCTTTCTTCCCTTCAATTGAGATTGCTAGCGGGGAATACAAGCATCTTTATTTAATATTTTCCAACTTGTCCTTTAAGGAAAAAAAAAAAAAAAAAATTTAATATGTAATAATTCTAACTTACTCCGCCACTTGTCTCTTGATTCTGTTATTTAATTAAATTACCTTAATATGGCCATCTTTTACATAGATAGTATCAACTTCGTTAGGTAAAGGTTAATTTTCAATCAACTTGAACTTAAAAAAATATCTGAGAAGACATATATAATTAAAAAGATGTATTAAAAGCCAACATGATTAGGTAAAGATCTATTTTCATACATTTTTTGTCTTGCTTTCTTTTCTTGATAATTTCTAACTTGCTGTTAAAAAAATCATTTAATAGGTAAAAATTCTAACCTACTCCACTTGTCTTTTATTTCTGCTATTTATCTTAAGAGTAATGCTATTTGTAGTCGCTCACTGTCGTAGTCGTTCTATATGGCATACATGTAGTGGTTAGTGATTAAATATAAATGTGGCAATTTTTAATCACCTTATGTAACAAATCATTAATTGACACGTGTATGTTATATAGGGCGATTGTGATAGTAAGCAACTACATATACCATTATTCTTATCTTAATATGGGCATCATTTTCTATTAATTAATTAGTTATCTTATTATGGCCATTGTTTTCCTTTAAAACACTGGCTTCATTCGACAAAGGTAAATTTTCAACTAACTTGACGTTAAAATCAAATTATTTGAAAAGCCCAAAAAATGCCGACTTGATTAGGTAAAGCTCAATTTTCCTACATTCCTTGGTCGTATTTCTTGTCTTGATTTCAATCATTTTGGGGATTAGTCTCATAAATTGGTAAAGTCTGTGTTTCAACACCTTTTTAATCATTTAATATACCTTCAGCACTAAATTTAGCAGTAGGTATGATAAATCATGATTGAAGTAAAACAAAAAATTTGATCTATTCATATTTTGCAATATTCATGTTTTATTACGTAGTAACTTATTATAAGAACTGATTCATTCCACTATTTCTCCATGCAAATAAGGTGTGATTTTCAGTTTTTGTATGAGAAGTTTCTAAATCTCAAACTTATTATGAACTTATTTATTTCCATTTTTCATTCAATTGTAAAGAACTCTAGATTTGGTTTCTTTTGAGTAGCACGGGAATTACAACGAAAAATATTTATCCCCGATTTCCCATTTTATTTATTCTTTTTTTCTTTTTCTATATACAAGAGTGGACAAGAGCACGATTTTCTAAGATGACATAACATATTTGGGTAGCACATTTAAAGGTGAATAAAATAATAAATAAAAATTCATGGATTCCTATCTGAATTTCTTTCTTTCCTTCAAATAAGATTTATGGTGGGAACTGGACATTGAATACAGGCATCTTCGGTTGAGATATTCCCTAGTTGGCCTTTAAGAGCAAAACAAATTCATTTGATATTATATTACACTACTTGTCTTATGATTCCATTAATTAAATTGTCTTAACATACCAACTTGATTAGGTTAAGGTCTACCTTCCACCAACTTTCCCTATAATTAGAGATGGTCATATGACTAATTTTCATCAATCTTACTCTTTCTTCTGTTTTGTCTGAAACCAAATACAAATAAGAGACACATCTGATACACATTCCCTCTCAATAAACTCTCTATCCTATCAGCAATTTGTCCGAAACCAACAATACTTGATGAATTTCTCTTACGAAAATCTGCCACTTCTAGTCACAAGCCCAGATCTCCTTTCCCATCTGCAAGATTTAAAGCTTGATGGAGGTGAAAAAATTGTTAACTTTCAATGGCTCGGGCCACACTTTTTAACTTTTCTCAAACATGCAAAAAAACTGCACCATAATCGCATACCACTCGAGGAGAATTACTTCAGCCGGAGATTTATTGATCTGTTGAAGTGTCTTGATGATGCAGCGTCCAACTGCATCTTTTACGGAGAGACTGAACATTACAAAACCTTTTTAGAAATCATTCTCACTTTCATGCTATACATTAAGGAGCTTTTCACTCTTCAAAACCTGCTGGAATTGTTTGGTAGATCAGAACACCATTATAGACTTCAGGCAAGCTTTATCAACTTTCTTTTCGATACTATTGGAGAATTGCTAAATTGTGAAACATATTCCAGTGTTCTTGTGAGTAATCAAGTCAAAGTTCTTTGGAAGGATCTGACATTTCTGCTCACTTTTTTTGTTGATACAATGCAATGCATCAATCTAGAACGGAAAAAGATTATGATTCCAGAATTTGGATATATAACCAAGGAGGAACAGATCGAGCAGATGTTTAAAGGGAATATATTCACAGAAATTGAACATGTATACGACACAGTAGGGGTTTTCTTGCATAAGTTTTTTTTCACCACAGACCATGTTACCACTACCAAAATGGATGAGCCAATTTATCTTCTGTTAAAAAGGATTGCGTCTGTGCAAAAGGAGATAAAAAATCACTGCATTGAAGTCTCTATGAATCTGAATTGTGGAATTGGAAGCCTACAAATTGCAGAAAGTCAAAGTGAAGTATCATCATCCCAAATTGTCATGGACTCCCGCTTTCAGTCATCACGATAGCTGGAGTTCTTTCAAATATGGAGGAGAACGAAAATTTATGGCAACAAGTTGCAAAAAGTTTAAGTTCTTACATTTCCCAAAAAGCCAATGACTATCTTCCTACATTGAAACTTAGTTACATGCATTTACCAAATTACTTGAAACCATGTTTCCTCTTTCTTAGTGCATTCCAGGAAGACGAGGAAATTTCAGTTAAGAAGCTATTATTACTATGGATAGCTGAAGGTTTCATAGAAAAAAAAGAGCATAAGAGCTTAGAAGATGTTGCAGAGGAGTATCTATAGAACTAATTGACAGGAGCCTACTGCAAGTTGCCTCAAGAAGATCTAACAATGGAGTAAAAGCATGTACTCTTCACGATCTAGTACTCGACATGTGCAGCAAAATAACGGTAGAAGATGAAATATTTTTGTTTCAACAGTAAGTTAACTCACTTTCTTTCTAATTTCTTTTCATTTTACTTCCTTTTCCAATTTAGCCCTACTAATTTGAGATAATTTTGTTGATGCTGCTGTTGCCGATGCTGGTTGATGTGGTTGAACTGACGATAATGCTCCATATTCTTATTATTTTACTTCTTTAGCCAATATTTGATATCTAAGCTTCGCCATCGGTTGTGTATGTATCGGTCTCAACTGCTCTCACCGGCCTTATCCATTCTTTACAATTCGGAAAAAGTAAGGATCTCGGATCTGAAAAATGATAAAAATATTCTACTAGGGATCAAAATTATGCCTGACTTGAGGTATTTGGAAGTTCCATCATTAGACTCATCAATAGGCAGACTCCAGAACCTAGAATTTCTTTGTGTGAAACCCAAATATGAAATTAGTATACCAACATACCTTCTCAATATGCCTAAGTTAAGACATCTAAATGTCGGAGTCCTTGTTTCACCTGCAAAGTTCATTAAGAATTGTGATGGCTCCCGAATAAACAGCCTACAAACCCTTTGTTACGTTCTTATTGACAATTCCAAAGACGAAGAAATCTTGAGGTGTTCACCAAATCTTCTTGCCCTTAAATGCCGATCTTCATACGATTTCACTCCTAATCTCAGCTTTCTATCTCAGCTTGAATCACTCAAATTTCATGGGAGTGTATCAAAAATTGATTACTCAGTGGTTAACTTCCCAAAGAATATCAAAAAACTTAGTCTTGAAAGACTTAATTTGCCATGGGAAAAGATATCATTAATTGGGACACTTCCCAACCTCGAGATATTGAAATTAAAATGTAACTCATTTGAAGGAGAAATTTGGAGCACAAAGGATGATGAGTTCCAAAAACTCAAGTTCCTTAAATTATATTTACTAGATCTTGAAGAGTGGAATTCCTTAAACAATCATTTCCCTATACTTGAACGACTGGTGTTGCAATCATGTAAAAAATTGGAGAGAATTCCTCCTGACTTCAGCAATATTCTAACACTACAGAAGATCAATGTATATAATTGTTGTAAAACTGTCGAAAGTTCAGCGTTGCAAATTTGTGAAGAACAACAGGATAATGGTAACGATGAGTTTGAGGTGATCGTCCGTAATTCTAAATGGTAAAGAGAGCCTCTGTTCTACTGGTATAAATCAGAGCTCATCTCATACTTTTTTTGGTTGGAATTTTTTTTTTAATTTATTTATTTGATTAACATTTTTTTCCTAGTTCTTCTTATTCATATTCTTTTCTTTGCGGCCAACGTGAAGGTACGATGACTTTATGGTAAGCAATATTAGATAGTGGCCTGATTGCAAAATTGTATTATTTTATGATTAATTTGGCGAGTGATCAGATGAGCCTCAAATCTTTTGCCTTGTAATTTACTATTATTTATTTTCTTTTCATGAAGTTCACTACTACGGTATTTTCCTGATGTGCCATTATAAGTATTCCCAATTGTGAAATGAAATTCATTTGCTTTCAGATTTTTCATCTAATTTATGTTTCCCGTGTAAATTTAGAAATGTGTAATGTGCTTGTTGTAGCATTATTTCGAATGTATTATTTAATCAAATTAGGCAATACAAATTGGCTTTCCGATCCAATTAGAATAGGTTTGACTTCAAGTAATATACTTTAGAAACTGTTGGGGATCCTAGGAGTTCAAACAACCAAAACAACAATCAACAAACAAGATTCAAGGCAAAAAACAAGAAAATAAACCGGAAGAATACTCCCCTTCTTTGGCCGAAATCTGTCCAGCTTCTTCTTCGAATTTATGGGTGTTTTTCAGGCTCAGGAACAGCCTCCATGACTTGCAAATCACCTTCCAAGAGAGAGGGGAAAAATCCAATGAAGAACCACCACCCTTTTGCTAAAACGAGAGCTCTACCTTCTGCTGCTGCTGCTAGAATCCTCCAAAAAACGTGAGCTGCCCCCCCTTTATTTGAAAATGGTAGAGTGTACATAATGAAGGGGTAGGAAGAAAGACCATGCCTCTGCCAAAGGAAGGGAAGACCTTATTGTGTCAACCTCACTCCCATCAACTCACAACATTAGGTGGTGGGGTTAGGTGAACCATATCTTCACATTCTTCACCTTGGTTCTCCTAACACTCTCTCTTGGTTGCGAATTTGCACATGGAAGAACTGTTCATCATCATTGCCCACCACCTGCAAGAAAAATTAACCAGTGTCAATGTGTAATAAAGATAAGCACAATCTAAATTTACTTGCAGGTAGAATTTTTGTTCCCATATTAGAGGGATTCCTATCAGTGTGAATTTTAACAAGATTAACTTCACCTTGAGACAGTTTCTCACGTATAAAATGATACTTTACCTCAATATGTTTAGTTCTTTCATGGTAAACAGGATTTTTACAAAGCAATAAAGCACTTTGACTATCAGTAAACATAACAGGTGTATCATGCATGAAGTTCAATTCTTTTAAAATTCCTTTTAACCAAGTACATTCTTTAGCCGCCTCAGTTATGGCAACATATTCTGCCTCAGTACTTGACAAAGTAACTAAAGGCTGCAGCTGTGACTTCCATGTTATACAATTGTCACCTAGTGTAAAAAAGTACGCTGTGGTAGACTTTCTGCTATCCTTGTCACCAGCAAAATCAGAGTCTACATACCCCTTTAGAGTAAGTTTTTCAGATCTCTTTTCATACACTAGACCCAGATTTAATGTACCAACAATGTACCTTAACAACCATTTCAAACCT